AACCAGTAAATCACTTTAAATAGTAAAGTAGTGAGAAATCAAGTGAAAATCCCTTTTTTCCCAACAAGTAAAGCAAATAGTTTACAAGTGAGTAACAAAAATGATAGAAATATAAACAGCCCATCGGGCAAAACATGTACAACAAACCGCCCCTCGGGTATAATATCAACAGTGCCAGCCCCTCGGGCTCAATATCAAAATAGTAACAGCCCCTCGGGCTCAATATCAGAACAGTAACAGCCCCTCGGGCTCAATATCAGATCAGTAATAGCCCTTCGGGCTCACTCTCAGAATGGTATCGGCCTTTCGGGCTACCTCACAATCACTCATATCAGCCCCTCGGGCATAGTATCAATCACTCAGAACAATGGGTACCCGCGCTCACTGTGGGTGTGCAGACTCTGGAGGGGCCCCTTACGACCCAAGCACTATATCAAGCCACCTCGTGGCATCATCACTCAGTATATCCTCACATCACTCAAGCCACCAAGTGGCATATAAAGCATCTCAGGCCCTCGGCCTCATATCACTTAGCCTCACATCACTTAAGCCACTACGTGACATATAAAGTATCTCAGGCCCTCGGTCTCATATCACTCGGCATATCCTCACATATGGCCCTCGGCCTCACTCAGTCCGGAAATCATCATAAGCCCCTCGGGCATTTGTAAAACAGTAGTTCTCAGCCCAAAATACCATTTAGAAATATCATTTGAGTTTTCAAATCTGCATAAAAGCGTCTGAGTTTGTCAAAACAATAATTATAAACAGGACTGAGTTTAAATATAAGTCAAAACAGTGATAAAAATTCCCGAAGGATTTCAATAATTGGCACGAAGCCCAAGTATGGCAATCAGCCCAAATCATGATGATAACAAATAAGTTTCAATCAAATATGCGTAAAATCATCAATCGGGATGGACCAAGTCACAATCCCCGGTAGTAAAAGACCCCGTGCTCATCATCCAACGCGTGTCTCACCTCAATATAGCACTACAATGTGCAAATCTGGGGTTTCAAACCCTCAGGACATCATTAACAATCATTACTCAACTCGAACCGACTAATCCTCTAGCTCGCGATGCCTTTGTCTCTCAAATCGACCTCCGAATGTCTCTAATCTAGCCACAATACTTCGATTTAGTTAATAAAAATTATAGGAATTAATTCCATATGAAATTCTACATTTTCCATTAAAAATCCAAAATTGCACACAAAATTCGCCCGTGGGGCCCACATCTCATAATATGACAAAAGTCACGGAATATGAACCCCCATCCAACCACGAGTCCAACCAAATAAATTTTACCAAAATCCGACATCGGATTGGCTTTCAAATCTTAAAAATTCATCTTTATGGAATTTTAGAAAATTCCTCCATTTCTCTTCAAATATCAATAATCTAACGCCAAAAATGAAGATTTATTCATAAAATATAATCACAAAGGATTCAAGAACACTTACCCCAAGAATTCCCGTGATTTCTTGCTCAAAATTGCCCAAAACCCGAGCTTGGCAGTCAAAAAATAATGACCAAAAACCGGACTGCTGGACTTAAAACTATCCAGAATTTCGGGGTACTATTCGTACGTTTTTACTGTTCACGTGTACTTTACATGGGTACTGCTCACGCAGGTGTGGTCACTATTCACACGTGCGAAAAATGCAGAAACTGCCTAGAAAATTGCAGTAGCTTTTATTTTCACTAAAAATGCTCTAACTCCGTCATACGAACTCGGAATTCGATGATTCTTATTCCTATGAGTCACAAATAATAATACAAACATAGCTCTTCAGTCGAAACTCAATTCGGAGCTCATTTGCTCAGTTCAATACCCATTTCGCTCGTTAAACAATTAACTCATATTTCGTGTCAAAAACCCAATCGCGACTTGATGAAATTAGACCAAACTTTCCAGATCAATCCTATAATTCATTATCAAAATTCTGGAAGTCTCAAAATCAAATTTCGATCTCTAGAACTAAAAATGGACCTTTGGATCATTACATGCTTATGCTCAAAACGGCAAAATCTTCCAAAAACTCTTCCAAAACATATCCGAGCCTCATGGGACCCCGACCAAACATGCCAACACACTCCCATAACATAATTCAAACTTGTTGCAACCTTCGGAATGCTCAAAACATCAAATCACCCTCGGATTGAAGCCTAAGAATTCCAAAACTTTCGAAATCCGAATTTGATCAAAAAGTCAACCAAACGACGTCCAAATGACCTGAAATTTTGCACAAACATCACAAATGACATAATGAAGCTACAACAACTTTCAGAATTCCATTCCGACTCTCGGATCAAAATCTCACCTATCAACCGGAATTCGCCAAAATATTAACTTTGCCAATTCAAGCCAAATCCTTCCACAGACTTCCAAAATGCATTCCGATCGCGCTCCTAAGTCATAAATCACCTAACGAGGCTATCCAAATCATAAAATTTCCAATCCGAGCTCATATAAAAATGAGTCAACTCTTAGTCAAACCTTTCAAATTCAAAGCTTTCAAATGAGACGGTTCCTTCAAATTCATTCTGATTTTTCCTGAAAACCAAAACCAACGATCTGCATCAGTCATAATGCGTTACACGGGGCAAGTCATACCTGGGAACTGGCGATCAAAGTGCAAAAGTTCAAAACGACCGGTCGGGTCGTTACAATAAGAAGCAAAAGAGGGAGAAAAAATTTCAGAGAGAAACTAGATGGAGAAAAGTGGAAGATAAGTAAAAAAATAAAGAAGAATCTAAAACATAATAAAGGCAACAATGAGAAAATAAAAAACTTTAAAAAAGATCATTTTGTTATGATAAATATCACATTATGGTGGATGTCTACTCTTCTTCCATGATCTTCATCTCAAATGCTTAATGACATATTCAATGACATATTTTGTATGTTTAATGACATATTTTATTCACTTTTTATGCCTATATAAAGGCCTTGTAATAGATAGAAAAATACACACAATTGAAGAAAAAAATCTCTTCCTTCTCTCTATCTCTATTTCTTGTTCATGGTTTACTAAATTGCTTTTATTTCTTGTTCATGTTTTACTAAATTGCTTTTATTTTATAACACGTTATTAGCACGAGTCTCTAACTAATTGTATATATATCTACAAAAAATTTCCTATATCCAGAAAAATTGCAATTAAAAGCCATACATATCATCTCATGGTTAGATGTAAAGACAAACTACATATGGTAAGTAATGAAACGTAAGAATGTATGATTATCTTATACTTGTCATTCCTTTAATATCTGATATGCACACAACTTCGTACTACACATGTATAGCATAAGCACATATTAATATTACATCTTTTATATCACATGAATGGAATGAAATTTTCGAAGTTCTATATGTGAAATCATAGTAGCAGTTAATTGTTGATATGATGCACGTCATGGTAATCAAGGATATGTTATATAAGTTGTCTTATGCATATTTGTGTGTTAACTATCTTCATTCTGTCCTGCCGCTTTAGAGACATGATTATATAGAGACACTGTCTCGGGAAGGAGTGTAATGATGAAGCACGTGGGAGTGACGTCACATCCTGATAATTATATCAGTTAAGGTTCCATAGGATGTGTCTACCTCTCAACCTCGGCCGAACCAGTATGACGACAGCCAAATTTGGCGACGGGAACGAGTGATATCCGCTCATCGAGGACGTTTAAGGCTACGACCTCAACAAGCGGAGGGACTAACTATAATTGTCCAAATTTGGTTACCATGACGACGACGGATAAATGAGACTAGGGAGCAGAGTTATTACAATATGACGACTGACAGCCGTCGTGGCAGAGGACGACGACCAGAGGCGAGCAGCCGAAGTGAGGTAGGGTCGGTAGTGTCAACTCCGAAAGAGACAAAACGAATATACCTTTGGAATATTCTTTGTGCTGTACTTCTTAGGGTCTTTTGGGGAATGTCCCTTATAAATAGGAGAATATAGTAAACAAGGGGGAACTGCCCTTATCTAGAATTGAGAGATATTATAAGATTGAGAAAAGAATATACCATAAAGTTGTCTTATTCATAGCATCCATATACTTGTTGTTCATCATTTTTATCCATAGATCACAAGATCCCACTTAGACATTGAATGCTTTCCGTTCCACATCGCCAAAAAAAGGAAACATCCAATCATATGATCATTGGGTGACTATTCCTTTATACCACAATCACTACTAGTTTTTGTATTTATTACATGTTTATGATATCATACATCTTGTCACTCATAACATAAAGATTTCTCTATCTAATGCTATAAACGCGACTCATCGTACAGAAGTTTAGTTCTCATTTAATCTAGAGATTATTAAATTCAACTGAGATTCATCCTATCAATTTACATTAATTAGTTTAGCATTTATTTGCACAAACAATATGACATGAGGGATAAAATATAATTAATTCCGAGATTAAATTTGAAATGAGTTTATCTCATGTTTGGTTTTGATAAAATTATGGTATAACTAATTCCGTGATACTTAATATTTTTTTATCCCTATGGGAGGGTGGAATAACTAATCCCGAGATAGCTAATCTCAGAATAATTAATCATGAGATAACTTGTTTTCTAGCCAAACGACCCCTAAACTATTGCACCTTTGTTAGTTTCCTATCTAAACTATTCAGTATCCCAAGTTCCCCGGAACTATATTAAGTGAATATATTAAAAAAACTAAACTGTTATACTTTTTTCAAATTTCCTATCTAAACAATTCAGTATCCCCAAGACCCCCTGAATTATATTGAGTGAATACACTAAAAAACCTAATTATTTGAAGAAATACTTATTTACATTTACTTTGTAGCAAAAAATCAAATGAAAGCATATAGAGTTGCATTTTTTGAAAATCATCTTATGTTACATAATATAATTCAGGGGGTGGATGAAGTGGAGGCTTGCATATAGTGTTTTATGTGATGTGCCTCCAAGACTTAAGGACAAGTTAAGTGGTAGTGAGGCCGACTATGTTGGATGGAGCCGAGTGCTGGCTAGTCAAGAAATCTCATGTCCAGAAGATGAAAGTAGCAGAAATGAGGATGTTAAGAAGGATGTATGGGCATACCAGGAAAGACCAGGTTAGGAATGAGGTTATTAGGGACAAGGTGGGTGTGGCCCCGGTGGAAGACAAATTGCGAGAATCGAGGCTGAGATGGTTCAGGCATGTAAAAAGGAGAGACATTAATGTCCCGGTGAGGAGATGCGAGAGGTGGACCATAGCAAGGCAGATGAGAGGTAGAGGAAGGCTAAAAAGTACTGCGAAGAGGTGATTAGGCAGGATATGACACTACTTCAGCTTACCGAGGACATGGCCCTCGATAGGGAGGTGTGAAGATCGAGGATTAGGGTTGTGGGTTGACAGGTAGTCGAGAGACTCTTCTAGTTTTACTAGTAGTACTAGTACTGTAGTGAGAGTGGGGTGTGTCTGTGTGAATGAGTATCGGCAGAGGAGTCGAGAGTTCCTTGTTGTTAGACGATGTGGCATTATTGGTGGTAGTTTTTGCATTCATCTTATAGCTTCGTATTCCTAGTTCCTTTGCTATTACAGGCTGTGTTATTTGTTTCTGTTATCTTATTTTCTTGCCATTATTATTGTTTTGTTTATTGTGTCATTTTCACTGTTCTTGAGCCAATAGTCTATTGGTGTGTGGGGTTGCATTGGGGTTTTTGTTATTATTGTTGTTGTTGTTGTCGTTGTCATCCTATGTTATACAAAACAAGATTCAACAAATAAGAAAACAAAATGGACAGCAACTCCATTGTCTACAATGTGTTGGGTTTAATAAGAAAATTTAAATGAGTGTTCGTTCAATATATGGGTAAGAAATAAAAGAATATTAAAACAAGAAATATAATAAATAATTTCATAAGAAACAAAAGAGGGAGAATTTTTTTTAGAGAGAAACTAGATGGAGAAAAGTGGAAGATAAGTAAAAAAATAAAGAAGAATCTAAAACATAATAAAGGCAACAAAGAGAAAATTATTATGATAAATATCACATTATGGTGGATGTTTACTCTTCTTCCATGATCTTCATCTCAAATTCTTAATGACATATTTTGTATGTTCATTGACATATTCCATGACGTATTTTCTTCAATTTTTATGCCTATATAAAGGCCTTGTAATAGATAAAAAAATACACACAATTGAAGAAGAAAACCTCTTCCTTCTCTCTATCTCCATTTCTTGTTCATGTTTTACTAAATTGCTTTATTTCCTTGTTCAATATTGTTACTTTGAGTTATATTTCATAACACGTTATCAGTACGAATTAGTCTCTATTTTTCACCCTAAAATTGAATTTGATTTTCTCATCGAAGTTAAAAAAGTTTGCGTTGCTGCCAATTGCAATAACTAGGTAATATGTTTCAATCTGGGTTGTTAACTCTTTGGTTATATACAAGATTTTGTGTGAAAACTATTACTGATGATATCATGCTTAGCCAAATTTTTGTAATTCATCCTAACGTTGAAATATTAACTTTGCCCGCATCACAATAATTATACTTTTCATTTATAAGCCTAGTGGTATGAAATATTTGGATTGTTAGATTTCTGTCTTGATCAAAATAAAATTATCTATGCCTAATAACAACAAGACTGTGAACGTATAAAGAGTATGCAATGCATATTTACTACTCCTTTGTTTCTTTGAGTTGTTGATTATTGTTGAGAATTTGGCTAGACTTTGATGTCACCTTGAATGGTGAATTTCCCCTTTATTTATGATAATTGTTATTAATTAGAAGCAGTACTCAACTGATATATAAAAGAAAATCATCTTAATGATCAGGACATAAATGAGAATTATTAACTTCTGACAATAAAAGGCATTCATATCATTTTTTTTTGGAAATATCATAAATGAGGGTGATGACTATATCTTTTTGTTTTTCTAGAGAGCATAATATTTAATTTCCACAAAAGTGCATGGTAACTAATAATACTATTATTATATTTGATATATCATTTTCCTTAATGTTCTAGTCATATCACTTTCATCTTGAAGTAGACTTATTGCACCAAATACCACATGTAAATTTTCAAGTATTTTTGTGACGACCCGACCTGTCGTCTCGTGAGTTGCCTACCTGTTTTCCCCACTACCTATTTTGTTATGCTTAATTATCAATGTCTTGTGTGGACGAGTTGAATTGGAGTGGTTTTGATAAGAAATGAGACACTTAGTCTCTTTAAGGAAGGTTTGTGTTGGAAAAGTCAACCGGACGTTGACTTATGTGTTAGAGGGCTCGGATTTGAATTTCGATGATTCGGTTAGCTTCGGGGGATGAATTCTGACTTAGGAGTGTGATCGGAAGTAATTTTGGAGGTCCGGTGTAGAATTAGGCTTGAATTGGCGAAGTTGGTATTTTGGCGATTTCCGGTTGATAGGTAAGATTTTGATCCGAGAGTCAGAATGGAATTCCGAGAGTTGCACTAGCTTCGTTAGGCGATTTTAGATGTGTGTGCAAAATTTCAGATCATTCAGAGGTGTTTTGGTCGAGTTTTTTATCAAATGCGTATTTCGGAAGCTTTTAAGAAATTTAGGCTTGAATCCTATGTAATTTGATGGTTTTGGCGTTGTTAGAGGTGTTTTGATGATTGGAGAAAGTTTGAATAATGTTTTAAGATGTGTTGGTGCTTTTAGTTGAGGTCCCGGAGGCCTCGGGGTGATTTCGGATGGCTAACGAATGTTTTTTGGGACTTAGGATGTTGCAGAAATCTGCAGATCAGTGCTGCAGGGTTTTGCTCTATGCGATCGCAGGAGTGGCATTGCGATCACAAAGAATTATTTTTGAGGGGTTGTTTGGTTGTTCAATGCGATCGCATAGGGAGGCATGCGATCTCACAGTATAAAGTTAATCCGGGATTTTCGTGGAAATTTGTTCAATGCGATCGCAGGAGCAGGTGTGCGATCGCATAGGCTAAGGTCATTGTGCTATGCGGTCGCAGAGGATAGGATGCGATTGCATAGGATTAATTCTGGAGCTGCAGATTTTTATGCTATGCGATCGCAGAGTATTGGGCCGTGATCGCATAGGGTTGGCTACAGTGGTCCGGGCAGAATGTTAAAAACATTTCATCCGCGAACCCAAACCCATTTTCCTCCATTTGTGAGCAACCTTGAGAGCTTTTGGACGGGAATTGAAGGGGGTTTCGATGGGAAGTGATTGGAGGTAAGTCCTATGAACTAAAAACATGTTTTTATTATGAAATTGATCTTGAAATCCATGGAAATTTAGCAAAAATAGGAAGAACTAGGGCTTGAGTTTTAATATTTCAAATTTGGATTTGAGGGGTCATTTGGACTCCGATTTTGGAAAAATTGATGACAGCCACGTGGTGGCACTTCTCCATTTCAAATTATGTGATGGTAACTTCCGTCGTGCCGCGACGTTAAATCACGCACTTCTTGGGAGGCAACCCATGTGTTTTTCTTCTTGTTTTTCTTTGATTTTCATTGTAGGATAGGATTTATTTTTGGGCTAACTGGTTGTGAGATGTTACAGGATTGTGTTGGTGCAGTGCAGGACATAGTGGAAAGGTCTCTGAAGTTGTTAGTGCGGACCGCACTAGTGAAGGGTGAAATGATGACCTCTCTGAATTTTGCCACTGCGATCGCACTACATTTTGTGCGGTCCGCAGTGGACCATTGCAGCCGCTATCCATTTTGTGCGGACCGACGTGGGTTACTTGGTCAAACTTGGCAAAAGTTGTGTAGTGCGGACCGCGGTAGATTTTTTGCGGTCCACACTAGTTGGTAAGACTGGGCCCCAGGTCCTTTTATATAAATAGGGCCTGAGGCCCTCCTTTTACCCTATTCGAACCCTGACTCTTAAAACTCATACAAACACTGTTCATCACCGTCTTTGTTCGTAATTAACTGCTTGGACTTGTTACTCTTCATTAACTTTCACATCTGGTACAAATTACTTGCCTTTTAATTGTTCAATTTTGTTAATTTCTTTTGATTTTAGTTTTTCTTGTTTCCCTCTCTATGTTTCCCGTAGTTTTTCTTCAATTGATTAGGTTAGGGTTGTTAATTTCTTGATTAGAGTAGGCTCCTGTAGTTAAAAATAATGACAAATCACTTAGGGGCACTGTTTAGGTATTAATTATGCTTTAAATCAAAAATCCGTTAAACCCGAATGTAGTGCCACAATTGGGCACTCAGTGCAGACCACAATCATTTCTGTGCGGTCTGCAGTGCCCCGGTGTGGTATGCAGTACCATTTTATGCGGACCGCATTGATGAAACTTCTGAAAGCTGAACTTTGGGCAGTGCGGCCGCACTACATTTTGTGCGGACTGCACTGGCCCCAGCGTGGCCGCACTACATTTTGTGCGGTCCGCACTACTTGGATACAGAGGGTGGGTAGTCTGGATACAGAGGGTGTGCGGACCGCATGGCCATTTTGTGCGGTCCACATTGGCCCCTGTGCGGCCACACACCACTTTGTGCGGTCCGCACTGGGTACCTTCTGCAACATGTCTGCAACTCTTTTCTTCTATCTGCAATTCTGTTTCTTGCCTGCTGCTATTGATACTAACAAAGTCATTTGAATTGTGTTTGCAGACAATGGTACAACAACGAGGCAAAGGATCTAAACAACCTGGCAGAGGTAATCTTCCCCGGGAGGGAAGCAGAAAATGATAAGACTCACTCCCCAAGCTAGGCAAAACATCAAGAACATGAGGAAAGCGATAAAAGCTGCTGACAGAGCCATTGACATGTCGGGGAGTGAGTACGAGCCTTCCCAGGAGATTTTTTCGGACTCTATGCCAGAATACATCCCTGACTGGCTAGAGAGGCATATACTGAGAGATACACCTCCAGCATCCCCCATTGCCCAAGCATTAGTGAACATCTCTTTTGGGTCATCTGAGGGCTCAGGTGATGGTAGTGGGGAATACTTCACCTCTCCTATAGCTTCATTATCTGGAGAGGGTGCAGTAGGTGATGAGGAGGGAGCAGGGAGAGATGAAGAAGTAGGAGAAGGAGGTGAACCACAAATGGGGGGTATTGCCCGAACTAGGAAGCCGGAGGTATGGCAGGACTGGTTTGTTAGTGAGGTAGCGTACCACAAGTTCCGGGAATGGTGGCCGGTAAGGAAGTTAATCCCGGAGAGGAGTTTTATTGATAGAGACTTGCTACCACACAACCCCAACGTGAGGAGGCAGTTTAGGACAAGAGTGGGCTGGGAACATTTTCTAGACGAGTGTGTGGATGCAAACGAACACTTGTTCAAGGAATTTTACAGCAACGTAGCCCACATAAAAAAGGGCTCCAAAGTGACCAAGGTTCGAAATCTGAAGGTGTTGTTTGACGGGAAGACAATCAATGACTATCTTGGGTTTAATGATGAGGATGAGACCCTGTACATGGCAAAGATGGAAATGGGCGAGGAGGTTCGTCCCTGGCTAGCACAGTACCTAGCAATCCCAGGTACCACCCCAGACTGGTTGACTGCTGGAGTCAAGATCTTGAGATGGAGTTTGAACTTTGAGGCACGAGGGTGGGAGACCTTTGTATGTAGCAGGTTAGACCCCACAACACATGACAACTCCCCTCTCTCCACCGGGCTGTGTTAGCGGCTTCGATCATGGCGGGGGTACCCAATCAATGTGGGGAATGTGATGTCTCGGATTATTAATATTGTGGGTGTCGAGCATGACAGTAACTACCCGTTCCCCAGTTTCCTCACTATGTACTTCCGGGACCTATAAGTGGAGAAGAGGCCCTTCGACATCAAAGTCAAAGCGAAGGCCCTTTTCATCTGGTACAGCATGCAGGGGGATGACAACCCCAAGAGCAAGAACTTCAAGAGTACAGTTACTGCTCCAACTGGCCAATCTGAAGAGCCAGTTATGGTAGTGACTCCAGCTGAGCCTGCATCTACTTCCACTGTTGCCCCTCCTGGTCCATCCACCTCAGCGGACCCGGAGATTCCATCTTCCCGGGCCCATCCTATTACTGCCCACCAACTAAGCCAGGCACTTCTGAGTATCAACAACTGGATGCATACTGCCTCATCCAAGTTGTCCATCCTGACTACCACGGTAGAGGCTCAGTCGGCACCCCTAGTCCTACAGGTTTCCCAGTCTATTTAGGATGCTTTGAAAGAGATTTTAGACAACCAAAAGAAAATCCTCGACACTTAGAAGGTACTGACTGAGGCAGTTGATTCACATAGCAAGGATCTCAAAGAGATTGCTCGGGAACATAGGAAACTGAGGAAGACACGGGCATCCAAGAAGTCCGTGAAGGTGGCGAGAGCTGATGTTGACGATTGAAGGCAGATCAGCTGCCTTTAGACTTACTGCTCCAGGACCCAGTACCCGCAGCTCATTCCCAGTCAGAGCAGTCACAAAGGCCTCCCAAGAGGAAGAGGATGATTCCTAGAGCGGATGATGTAGTCATCTAGTTGGCCGACCCACCGGAGGCTTCCTCCAGTCAGCCTCAGGATGCACTTTAGGAGCCAGTCCAGGTCCAGGCCCAGGTCCTAGCAGTAGCAGAGTAGCAGGACACCGGGAACCAGTCTAAGGTTCCCGAGCACAATGAGGACCCTGGGACCACTCAGAGCCTATGCAAACAGACAGGCCATAGGGAGTCCCTATATCCTTTTTCCTATCTCTTTTTGATGCTTTATTTGGTTTAGTTGGCATTAGGGACAATGCCAGCTTTCATTTGAGGGGGTAGGCCCATTCATTCTGATGATTGTATATATATTTGATACTTTGTTATGCTTTCTTGATTTTTCATCTTTGGGTTGTATATAATTTTAACATTTCGTACATTTATCGCACTTTTATTTTACTTTGGGTCTGTATATAAAGTTATGTTACATTGTACATATCCATCCTATCTATTGTATATTCAAATCCCCTCTTGTATATATTCATTCTACTTTTCACAATTTTTTCGTTCTTAGCTTCTTATTTGTGATTCATAGCTTCTTGTTTCTCAAGTTTGCAATAAGACTTTTGGTTTTCTTAATGTCACGGTTCTTTCCAAAGGTGGAGTGTTGTGTGAACTGGGTAGCTCTTCTCAATGATGGATGGCGTGACAACCTTCTTAAGGGTTTGAGTTCGTTTTTCTTTTCGTTTTTATTAGTTAGTAGTTAAGGGTGCCTCAAGCAAAGCTTCACTTGGGCCTAGCACATTTGCCTTTGATCTTATGGTCAAAAACAAATTGTTGTGTTTAGTATGGTGAAAGTAGTGACCTTGATACTCTTGTGTTGACTGACAGTCATCAAGTGGTTTTCGGGACCATTGTGTGCTCAAATCTTATCTAAGGTCGTTATGGGTCCCCGACTCTACGTTTTTAGCAATCCCATAGCTTGTGTGGTGAGTAATCGCATTGCAACTCCAAGTCCCGAGCCATTGGTCTAGAACTTGCCCTGAATGTTTGTTGAGGCAAAATACTAAGTGAATTCTCACTTGAGACATGATTATAGGCTCTCCTTGGTCCAAATGATAGTTGAACACTCCCATAACCTACCAATGATAAGATCCCTAGTCAACCCTTTTGAGCCTTAGACCTTTTTCCTTCAAGAACCATAATACAAGCCTATACCCGTTCTAAAAGATACCCCCTCTTGGCACTCGATCTTTCCTTTAGCACATGGCAAAAGTATAAGTTTGGGGGGAGAGACGATGAGTGCAATAAAGTGGTAAAAAGGCACAAAAATGAAGAAAAGAAAAGGCAATGAAAAAGAAAGAAAAGCAAAACGACAAATAGAATGTTTAATATGAAAAAGAACAAAATGGGATTCAAAAGAAAGAAAGGTGTGGAAAGTTGAAAAAGGATAAAAGGTTTGAAATACATAATAAAGAGTGACAGTGTGTCTCTCTAACCCCTTAGAAAGAAGTGAAATGACTCAAAGAGTCAAGTGAATGGATGCCAAATGAATCAAAAGAAGTGCTTAAGGGAAGATGGAACCTACTTAGACCAAAACATTTCCTACCCTGAACCAAAAGCCTTTACAATGTCCCCACAAAAGCCCTATATGATCTTGAGTTGAATGAAGCTTACATTAGTGGATACTCACATAAGGGGCAAACATATGGTACCTAGAGCAGGACTTGTGACTTTTTTCTTGAGAGAGATGAGTGAACTTCCATTAACCTCGTTTTGAGTACCACTATTCTAAAGGTGAGGTTTTCTTAGGGAGAGTTGAGTATATGTAAGTTTGGGTCCCACAATGACCGAAGTAATAGAAAAGAGTTCTTTGATGTGTTGAGTCAATTCTTGATGCTCTTGTGTCGCACTTAATCCACGGTGTTTCAAGAAGTAAAAGTTGTTAACGATTCATTTGTATTGAGGGCAATTGTTAGTCCCAACTGATGCTAGATGAGGTTACTTTAGGTCAGCTAAAAATTTCTTAGATTTTCCCTTAAGGGGTGGATCTTATTTTATTTGCTTGAGGACAAGCAAAAACTTAAGTTTGGGGGAGTTGATAACTAGGGATTTTAACACATTTTATACTCTTGCTTGCTTATGCTTTGATTAGAAATTCATACTAAATAGTCCCAAAAGGATCATAAGTTGTGCCCGATTGCAGGTTTGATCAACAAAGTGACAAAATATCAAAGATCAGCTCAAAAACGAGTGAAACTTACACAAGTCCCAAGACAAGACAAAGCTCAGGCAAAACAGGCCACTGCGGGCGCACACCATTCTATGCGGTCCACACTAGGGGATTCATAGAGGTTGACATTCAGGCACAAAGTCAATGCGGCTGCACTACGTTTTGTGCGGTCCGCACTGAAGTTAATGCGGCCGCACTTGACTTAGTGCGGTCCGCAGACCCAAGAATCAGAGAGATTCTAGTTTTGAAGTTTCAAGCCAATACGGTCCGCAGTCCATTTTGTGCGGACCGCACTAGAAGCCTCCTCGGCCACAGTCCGTTCTGTGCGGTCTGCATTGCTTGAGTTCAGAGAGTTGAATTTTGAATTCAAGAGCCCTAGTGCGGCCGCACTCCATTTTGTGTGGTCCGCGCTAACCCCGCAGGGGCATTTTTGTCCAGAATTTTTAGCTTAGCATAAATAGCTTCTTTTCCCATTTTTAGGGTATCAGATATTGTAATTAAGCAGTTGCACTCGTGGGTTCGAGATTCTTAGCTTTTTTGGGCACTTTTATCTACTTTTCATCATTGAATCTTGTTATTTAGCTTAGCAATTAATTAATATGAGTTGTTATTCATCTATTTCTTGCTTTTCTTCTTTATTTATGAGTAGCTAGACCCATAAGCTAGGGTTGTGGCTCAACCCTAGTGTGGGTAATTGATGGGTCTTGTATTTTAGGGCTAAATTGACTATGGGTGTTTGATAATTGGGCATATTTCATGGTTAATTTCTGAATTAGTGGTTGCAAACACTAGTTTGTGTTTAGTTGACTTGGGTTCTTCTTGAGAAAGAGAGCCCAAGACTTCGAAATTGGTCCAACAAGGAATTGGGGCGTACTCAAGAGATTGATAGCCCCAATTAAAGGGTTAAACCTCGAGAGAGTAATACCCGACTTGAAACCTAGTTGCTTGTGCAAATTTGCATACCCAATTGGTTTTGAGAAAGTCAATTTGGGCAAAATTACTCGAACCGCCGAGAGGTGTATAGTGGGTAAAATAGTGCAACGGTTATATCATACTACCTAATTATGTCAATCGTGTCTTAGATT